TCAGACCCTGGTTCTCCTCCTTCTCCTCCTTATACCCGGCGTATAAGATGGCCCCCCGACTTTTGAGACCCTTTCCTAGGGTTAAAAAACCGTCTTATACGCCGGTTTAATATATTTATATATTAAATTAATATATACATATTTATATTTATATAATATATTTCTATTTCTATTTCTATTATATTATATTATATTATATTATTGCACAGCATTCTGTGCAATCATGATAGCCACATGATCACAGTAATCCTCAGACAATGCTGGCTCTTCGGCTTAGTAACAGAGATGAGCACCGCCCCTATGTTGAGACACGACTTAACAACCTTATCAACGAGGAATACCTTTACCTTTTTACCTACAATATTATATCCAAAGGAATCATTGTGTAATGAGCTCAAAATATGCCTTGTGTTTCCCATTGTGGCAGCCAGCCTGTCTCACTTCCATTAAATGAGGCTAAGCTGCAAAGAAGAATCCTAGAGTGAACAGCACATTGATAAAGAGAAAGTTCAGGTCCCTTTGCTTATTTTCATTTCATTCATTTACTTGCTTTTCATCTTACAAAAATCTTTAATAAAGACTAAAATCAGTACAGAAAAAACCCACCACAAAAGGGCATTGTTGTTGTGCGCAGTCGAGTCATTTCCAACTTACATCAGCCCCAAGGCAAATCTACCATGGAGTTTTCTTGGCAAGATTTGTTCAAAAACAAAAAAAAGATTTGTTTGCCTCCCTCTGGGACTGAGAGAGTGTGACTTGGCCAAGGTTACCCAGTGGGATTCCATGGCTAAGTGGGGATTTGAACCCTAGTTCCCAGAGTCATAGTCCAACATTCAAACTACTACACTACTCTGGCTTTTAAACAAATCATATTAAATAAATAAACAAATATCAGAACACAATTGGATTAAAAGAAAATGTATTGCAGTTTTTCACATTAGGAGTCAAAACATCCCATTCACAAAACATGGCTGGTCCCACCATTTCCAATTTGTCATGGGGGCTATGGAAAAGCCATTATAGCTCACTTTGTTATTTGTACAAAGAAGGAAAGCACCTAAAGAGAGACTGAGGTGTAGCTCCCCACCCTACTCAGTCCTCATGCTGGCCATGATGGCAGGTACAGAGGATTTTTCACAGAGGCATTTATGAAAAACTGAGAAAGCTCCTCTCAAGAATAATAAAAAATAATGAGAGCCAGAGTGGTGCTGTCCTTAGAGTAGGACCTGGGAAATCCAGATCAGGGTCCACACTGAGCCATAAAAACAAAATCATAAGATGACCTTGGACCCTTTTCAGTCTGACCTCCCTTGCAGAATTCTTTTGAAGATAAAGGGAGGGTGAGAAAACCATGTACTCTGCCGTGAGTTCACTATAGGAAAAGGAGAACAGAAATATAACTAATGACTGAATTTAACAATGTGCTGAAGCCCTGTGTAACTACCATGGAAGGCTGATGCTTAACCGTGTTTTCTCTAAGGATTTTATCTTATTTTTAATGGTGCTCTTTCTTTATAGTGCTGTACATATAACTTTCCTCTAATGTTATACCTTTACAACCATCATGTAGAGCACATTTGCGTGAGAAAGAGAAAGAACATGTGCATATGGCAGGCCATCCAAAAAACACTTGGGTCATGAATGAACTAGAATTTGAACTCAGATTTTCTTTACACTGGTTGTAATAGGCAAAAGAACTGCAACAATGGCTGTATAAAATCAGAGACTGGGAATTAATTCATTCCCCTTACTTGTTCTGGTGTTTTGAAAGTAATTTATTGCATTATTTCTCTGTTTAAGAAAAATACAGCAAACCTCACTGTTCACTATATTAGTTCTCTGTCTTTTTGTTTTAATATAAGATTGATATGAGAATGATAAAACCTGAAAAATCCACATCAAAGTGTTTTTAAAATCACTTGGATATAAAGAAAATGTTACTGCACCAAAGAAGCAGTTTCATTTCCACTCACCATGTTACTTTCAAAATGTGATTTCATTACTCCCTCACTGCCAAGAAAGTAACTTGCTAATAACATTATTTGTAAATCACTGCTTTAGAGCTCTGTATGAAACTGCCATAAACTGTCTCAACCACTACACACTGTCTTATATCACAACCAACCACATTACATATATGGCTAGTTTGTTCAATGAGAGGAATTACTGCTCTGTCTTCTCTAGACAAAGACAAATTTTTATGCTTCAGGAGTCTCCTACGTCAGAAGCGTCAAGAAAACCTGAAGGCAGACACTGTAGGATTGAGAGCAGGGGAGAAGGTAAAACTGATAACTCCCTGTCTAGAGCTCTAAAAAAATCCCGAGGCATGTCCTCCATAAGTGCAGAACTAATAGACAAGTCTTCACAGCAGTCACAGGAGCGGATTGTTTGAATATATAGTACTGTGTTTTCAGCAGAGCAGAATGGGGTGGAGGAACTAAGAGGCTTTCTTGCAAAAGAAAGCTCCTCTATGTTCAAGCTCCCTATCCATCTATCAGTCCAGGTGAAGCATATTTGGCTTACTGTAAATTAAGACAAAAACATTCTGGCATGTGTTCAGTGAAGAGGCAGCTACAAATAATCCGAGCAGTAAACAACTCAGCATGCCATTCTTGGCAGAGTGCCTTTTTCTTCACACCAGTGTTTTCAAGTAAAAGGGAAAAAAGAAGAAAATTGCATTCATAAGCAACAACTTTTGTTTGCAACAACAAACATCCTAGAACCGACAAGAGAATGCAGGGTGGACTCAAATATCTCATGGGATAATAGTGGGGTGGCAGTGATACCAATCAAACTAATCATTGATTTTTATAGAAGCATATGAAGTTTCCTGAAACTTTCTCTTTACCTTCTGGAATCTTTTAAAAATAAAAATAAATTCTAATCACTTGTGGCCTGAAAAGAGCTTACTGAAAACTTCTTGCCACAGCCTGATTGCACATTGTGCATGCCCAATCATTTTGTTGCTATGTTTGTATGCCTCAAAGGGTCACTTTACACATTAAAGATGAAGAGAATGCATCATTACATTTCGAATGTCTACATGCATCTGCTTCCTGTGTACAGGACAGAAAAGTGTGACTTGCTGCAATTCCTCGGCATGTGCATTAAGGCCAAGTACAAATGGCTTTTGCTACAAGCTGCTGCTAACACCCCTAGGACAACCAGGCTGTGCTATGTCAGGCACCAAAGCTGGTACATTTCTTTTGTCACAAGGACACTTGTGGGAAATCTGCCATGTTTTTGTAAGTGACTACCCCAACTAACCACACTGAGCACTGCAGTTACCTCAGACATATAAAATTAGAAAATAATTACAGCAGCTTTCCCTCAATGCTAGTCCATCCCAAGAAGCTAAACTATCAAGAGATCCACTGCCTCCCAACAGGGCAAACTTCTCATTTCTAGTGACCTCTGGCGCTGCAGGATACCAGATCTTTATCAAAGTCCAGAATCAATAATGCAGCATCTATGTGCAAACTGAAGGAACCCCTCTTATCAACCCTATCCCACCCTACCTTCAAATCTCACACCCTAGGCCAGGGGTAGGCAACCTTTTTGAGCCGGGGGCCAATCCCCCGAAGTCCTCCCTTCTGGTGGGCCCAGGGGGGGCGGGAATGGCGGCGCATGCGCTCACACACGTACGCACACAACCCCCGCCAGCGCACGCGCCCACCCTGCGTGCGCTGCTGCAGCTGCCTCCACACATGTCGCCGCAGCCACCATTCTGTTTTCCAAAATGGCAGTCGCAGAGCGATTGAAACGCACAGCAGCAGTGGCAGGCGGTGGCGGCAGGGGTCCGCCTGGGCCGATAAGCGCGGGGCCCCAGGGCCGGAACTGGCCTGGGGGCCATAGGTTGCCGGCCCCTGCCCTAGGGAGTGGCACTTGTTTAGATCAGGGCCCTGCTGAGGTCCGGAAAAAGGAGGAGCCATTTGTGCTACAAGCTATGCAATGGGCTCTTGGTATCCACTGAGGTTTGGTTCCAGGACCCCTTCATGGATAACAAACTCTGTAGTCCCATTAAATCCAATGGCATAGTAAAATGTTGACCCTTATATAAAATAGCAAAATCAAAATTTCCTTTTTTGAATTTATATCTTTTTAAAATATTTTCAAGCTGTGGATGACTGAATCTGCAGATAACGAATCCATGGATAGGTAGGGCTGACTGTAAATGGTGCCACTGAACAGCTCAACTACTGATCCAGGCCTCCTGATCAAGTCCCTGTTCTTGCTGTCCATATCCTGTTATTTCCCCAGCTGGCCCAGGCTTCCTGGCAAATACTTGTTTCTGTTGCTTGTATTCTCCCACACCAACTGATGTTGACAGAAACTAACACATCTAGTCAAGGATTTCTCACATGATGTGTAGTTTGGACCTCAATTGAAAAGCTAAAATAAGCTGAAACACTCAAGTTTCCAGAACAATATTCATCCACACTAACCTGCAGCTGCTGTCCTCCTGGCTAGTGAAACATCATGCCAATTCCAGATTAATTAATTCTTCTAACTGTTAGAGAAATCCAACAAGGTTAAGAGTTTAACAGTATTAGAATTGAATAAAGGCATATTTACCAAGGGTGTTAGATCATAATGTCCTACCATGCTTATTAGCACCTATCATAATTCTCCATTAAGAGAACCTGTACTATCTTATGGGACAGCACCCATCCATCAATCCTGCACACCATTTATACAAGGCAGACTCCACTAAACTGATTCCAAAAAGATTTCTTTCCCCTCCTCCACATCAACAGAACGTTTGTACTGCCATTTGTCAGCTTTCTGAGTAGTAGCTATAGCATAGCAATAACTGTAATGTATTTAATCACGGTTATGCTCTCTTCATAACTTCCACTTTGGGATTCAGTAAACATAACAGTGTCAGAGAATGGAGAAGGCGAATTCAAATCTGAGTAGCCCATATTCCACTTATTAGCAGCTTGGTGCAAGATCCCAGCCCTTGAGAAAGCTGCAAATGCAGCCACACATCATGGCCTGTCAAACTAACAAATATACTTCTGTATCAGCTGTAGGGAAGTGAAGTACTCTTGTCAGCATTTACTGTTCCTGCAATTTGTTCTTTTCCCCCCTTAAACCTTTGGCAGTATCAATTGCAGAGATGAGGGAGAGAAGCTGCTAAGAAAAACCATTTCCATCACCACAAAGCTGAGGGATTCATGAGCTTTAGTCATAAGCACACAGTCTCATCCAAACCCTGACATTTCCATTTATTTATTTATATTGTTTCCCACTCATGGTGACGCCTACCCTATTCTGCTTCTGCCTATTTTTAAAAGTGTAATTTTGTTAAATGTCTAGATGACAACAGCGGGGTAAAAACAATTATGGCAATTGGGTGCATTTACTTAATTCACATAGTTTATTTGGCTACAACTGTTACGCACTGCCACTAAATGCGTAATATATTTGCTTACAAGAGCAGCCTCATAAAAAGGCACTACCCTGGTGGCTTTTTAAAATGATCCAGATTTTACTCACAAATAAAGTTCACTGGATAACCTTGGGACAGTCATCTCCCAGCCTCACCCACCTCAATCTTGTAAAGATAAAAGGGGAATAACATACACTGTTCTCAGCTTTCTTCAAGGAGAGTAATAAAGATGTCAAAAAATTACTACCAGTAAGGGATTCCCTCCATCCTACCTCACTACAAGCGACTCATCTAAGTACATATATATGGGTGAGCTGCAAGGAAAGCATTATAGGCTAGAAAGTTTTTGTAGAATAATTTTTAAGACTGGCAACAAGGATGTCAGGGTAGAGATAAGGCAGATAAAACACCATGGAACAGTGTATGAATGAGGGCCTATTAAGTGAGGAATAGAGCAGGGT